TGGTTGATTCATTCTGTGCTGTTCAATTCACTTAACGTTCAATCGCTTTTATACCTGACAACTCTTTATCTCTCTCAAACACACACACACACACACACAAATAATACACACACTGTCCATGTAAATGCAGCCTGTACACATTTACGGTCAGGTCACGTGTCCCTGGCGTCAGTGACCTTACACTTCATAATTTCATGGTTAATGTTGACGCCCTCGTACCGGATGATGTCCCTACAGATCATATATTACCGACCTGATTTACCTAATGGCCATGACGGGTTATGGAAGCTAATGGTCTATTTTGAAGCCCATTACCGTTCTTGGTTCTATGACTTGTACTGGTAGACTGTTCAATAGATCAACCAGCCTTTGTGTGGAGACGTATGTTAGCGAGCTTAATAAAGTTGAGTCTTGAGTTTGTTGTGTTTGATATATTAGACTTAGAGTGATCTGGGTTACTGCCTGCCATCTCTCTCAGGGTCTCTAGGAGGTCCACCATGTCGTTTCTTGTCTGAGGAGTTGTCGATCCTGATGGTCCCCAGTCTATTGGGAAAGTCGGGCTGACTTATTTCAGAAATGATTCCATTCGGTTTGGAATTATTTACCTCACACCAGACAGTGACGCAATATTGTAAGGACAGACAGACAGACAGACAGACAGACAGAGGTAGATCAACAAAATGATACACACATACATGATTGATTGGTACATGGACAGACAGACAGACATGATAGATATAGAGTGGACGTCATATTGATGTAGTCTTGAGGAAATTTCTCCGCTTTATTCATATTAAGTGGATACATTATAGTCTTCTTGGGTTAAAAACATAAAAGTTTCACAAGACCAGCCAGCATGGACGTACAGTAATCTACAACATAATTGGTTAAAACATGTATTATGACCACATGCATTTACCGTAACGCTATTCATATAACTAACATTTCTAACTATTCGTAAGCCTTATGTTTGTTTACTTTTGTTATTTGCCAGATGTAGTGACAATTTAACCTTCCGTATCATAAATCTACAAAATATTCATATTAATTTGTTTCATCGTGCAATATGGTTCATGGTAAACGGTAGCATTTATGTTAGTTTATCATAGTTTTAATGTTATATATTTAACTCCTCCACATACAAGGCTTAATAGTTCACACCAGCTGTGCAACTCCCGTAGGATCTGTGGTTGACCAGCAGTCTAGTCACAACACGACGCCTGGTGGAAAGAGCGCCATCTGTGTTATGAACGGAAACATACACAGTGCTGGACTGTACTGCGCGTGTTAGCTAATAAGTCAAAATAAATAACGCGAGTGGCTCCTTCACCATAACTAACAAGTGTTTAGCTTTTATAGCGATGACGTTTTCAGATGCACCTCCCACTTAAGTGTTTGTTGTAAGATAAGGTTCATAGGTATGTAAACATTAATTTGTTCTTAGTCTACTGTAGAATCGTGCACTTTAGGGAAAGTACTGTAATTTAAGGACCAATACCTGACCACAAAATTCTGTGATTTCTACTGGTATAAATTTCAGCGTCGGCTTAACTTCAACTCTGCCAAGTAGACCAAACGGTTAACTCCTAACCTAACCTATCCTATCCTATCCTAACTAAGGTCTCTGACTGTCCATGCAATCTGGGTCACAAACATCTGACAGGATGTTATTTAAATGATACTAATGTCAATCTTGAAGGTCTCCCAAAAATCATAAATGTATTACACTGATCACCAAGCTTTGTACCCCTCTCGTTGTGCGTCACCAGCAGATAAACATGACACAAGTAACAATTGTACGGTGAAGATAATAGTCATCTCGGGGTCATTGTTCCTATTTAGAGGTTGTGTGTGTACATATGAAGATAAGTTTTGGCGTGTACAGCACTTAGGTGTATGTATGTTGTGGTAGTTTTACTTGTTGATGAAATAGCTTACCGCGCCAGTGCAGTAGTGTAGGCAGTAACATTTATAGGAAAATAATAACGAAGGAAATGGCAATTATTTTTTCTTACATTTATTTTATTTTTTAAACAAGGGGAACTAGAAACGAGTTACATAAATCTTAAACTTATTTTGATGTTATTGATATTATAGTGATATAAAAACTGACCTAACTGTTGTTCCTTTAATATTTTACGCATGAGTTAAGAACAGGTTTATAAAATCGTGTGAGAGTGACCCGTGGACTTCCTGACCCGTCCTCGAGGTCATACTAGAAATTTAATGGACTTTGTGACTTACGACTTGATGACAATATTTCCAGAGTTTAGAAGTGTACGCATAGCACCCCCCTCCCCTCCCTCCTCTCAACAGTTCTTCAAGTCAGTTTCATGTTAAAATCCACCACTTCCTATTCTGTCACATTCCCAGTGTCTAGTAATCCGAACAACAAAGATTGACAAGTATTCCCTTAAAACTAGATTAGCTTAACTTTATAAGAGCATCAATAACTTCACACAGTCCTGCTAACAGAGATCTCCCCTTAGTTTCTTGTAGTAGACGTTTCGTTTTCCTCATGATCAGTAATCTTTCGACGCCTGTAACCGTGTATCACCAATCACACAAACTTTGGTCACTTGGGAAATTTATCTCCATTTAAGAGATTACGACCAACGCTTGAACAGCTCCTCTATCTCCAAACGTCTCGGACTCCTCCTATACTGCACCATCAGTTGCTGTAAGAACGACAACGTTGGTAATTAATCAATATACAGGTGTTACAGTACTGAAATAATGCTCAGATATGTGGCAGAGGATATGGTGGGCGTGAGTGACAGTCCGATATCAACTCTTTTTGTCCTGACAGAGGTTGTAGGGCGTCACTCACAGTGTGTCAGGGGTAGGATGCTCGTCTCCTTGGCGCTGAACTTCCCCTCCCACAGCCCCTATACTCGCTGGTGCTGACAACACGTCTGTAACAAAAACAACATTGTGATTGTTGTTCCCAGTTACACCGAAAACCATCAGGATCTATTGTATGTTCTTCAGTGATAAACATTATTATCATCCGTAAAATAAAGTTAATGAAGAGTAGGTCATTCACTTCAATAAGCCGCACGTGAAAAAAAAAAAAGAATCCCTCTTGTGTGATAAACTTCGAGTAGTCAAGTAAAGAAAGGCAGATGTTGGACTGGCTAATCTCAGTCAAAAATACAGTATGGACTAAGATACATGTGTGGTCAAACGTAGATACATCAACACTAGATCTACCAAAAATGTTTATCGTGGCAACAAAGACCTTTAGATAATCCTTAATCATCATCATCAGCTGCAAAAACAATAATATAACACACTCCTCACGCTGCCGTCTCTAATGTGGGAGGTTCATTACTATGGTTCTGTTTTAGAGTGTGTCTAGTAAACACTCTCACTCCCTCGCCATGGAGACTAGCACTGTGGTTGCTTGGCGGCCTCTTCCTTAGTTCTGCAAGCGAGAGGACTTGGGTTCAATCCCTTGGCAAGGCAGGACTCTAGGCCCGTTTTCCTCTGTGCCATTTGCATCAATTTAATCATCAGTAACTGAGCACCTGCAGGTAAATCGAACACTGGCGTACTGTGGTCTTGGGCAATAGTTAGCCAGTGCTGTTGGTGAGTTATCCAGCCTTCCTGGACTACTTCTTGAAGCTGGATTGCTCCGTTCGTGAACTCAGGATGTGGCGTTTTGTAACCGGCAGCTTCTATACACTTTACGTAAATACTTACCTAAGTGGAGTTAAGGTCGGCCATCCTTCCCTATGTGTGATCCAACCATTATTTGTCCTAACCCAACCTAATGTAGAGTATCTTAACGTGTAGAGTATCCTGTGTTCACTGACCGTAGAGGTTAATGCTGTGTTGGTCCTGGCCCCAGCTGTTGGAGGCCCAGCAGGTGTAGTTGCCTAGGTGATGGACCGTAACGTTACTGATGGTGAGGAAGGTGTCCACTTGGTTGTCCAGCGGAGTCCACGCCGTCACTTCACACTGGGACGCCACATCTTCTGTGAGAACAACACGAGTCAGCCAATAGAGGACCACCACCAACCACCTTCTCCACCACACACCACAAACAATACTATTCATCCCCTGCTGTAGTTCACGGGATTTAATTCATTCGGGCTTTTAATTTTTCATAAGCATCATCTCATCATCTCACTTACTGACATGGATTTCTAAGACCTGAACCTCTCCACTACTTACTGTGACTCTGGGAGATTCACAGATTTATTGAGGTTCTCCGAGAGTCTGTACGTACACCTCAGAGTGACGGACGAAGATTCTCAAACCTTCATGTTTTTTTAGATCTAACTAACTAACTCACTTGCGCTACAACATAAACTTACTCTTTCAAATAACAGCATAATCTGGCGGTGATCTCTTATCATATTTAAAGGGAAAATGTTATCGTATGAAGGTTTAAGAATCTAGATGTGACTACAGTAGTTGTGTGAGGCAAAACTATCTTGAGTCAGATGATGTACTGACTCGACCCAGAGGAATATTAAGATGATCATCATTGTCATCATCATGATTAGGCCCTATTATTATTATTATTATTATTTTTATTTTTTTTTTTTTATTATTGTTATTGGTATTGGCATTATTGTTATTATTAATATTAATATTATTATTATTATTATTATTATTATTATTATGATGGTTATTAATGTTATTATTATTATTATTATTATTTTTATTATTTTTATTATTATTATTATTATTTTTATGATTTTCATTATATTATTATTATTATTATTATTATGGTTATTAATATTGTTATTATTATTATTATTATTATTATTATTATTTATTATTATTTTCATTATTATTATTATTATTATTATATTATTATTATTATTATTATTATTATTATTATTATTATTATTATTTTCATTATTATTATTATTAATATTATTATGGTTATTAATATTATTAATATTATTATTATTATTATTATTTTTATTATTATTATTATTGTTATTATTATTATGGTTAATATTATTATTATTACTGTATTATTATTATTATTATTATTATTATTATTATTATTATTATTATTATTATTTCTATTATTACTGTATTATTATTATTATGGTGATTATTATTTTCATTATTATTATTATTTTCATTGTTATTACTACTTTCATTATCAGTTATTATTTTCATTATTATTATTATTTTTCATTATTATTATTTTTCATTATTATTATTATTTTTCATTATTATTATTTTTCATTATTATTATTATTTTTATTTTTTTATTTATTTTTTTCTACGGGCATTAGCTCACCCGGGCACAGGTCATTTTTAATGACCCACATCAAGGCCTGAGGGGCGAAAATATAATATAATAAAATAATAATTATAATAATATAATAATAGTAATAAAATTAAGAAAAATATATTACATAAATAATTATAATAAAAGAAAATAATAATAATAATAATAATATTTAAAAATAAATGACAATTTTAAAATAAAATAATAAAATTGTTTAAAAATTATGAATAATGATAATAATAATAATACCCCCTGTAATAATAAAGAGCCATAAATAAATACAAAAACAACAAATATAAATATCAATAGTGAAAAATGATATATGTACAGTATGTTGTGTTGTCAAAGTAAGAGTAACAATTGAGACCCTGCAATTGTGTGTAAATGGGGCAGAAATTTCAGATCAGCAACCTGGGAATTGGTCACAAATTTTTGTGATGCCATATGGCAGCAGGGTCTACCATTAGACAATACATTATGCTTCCAATATCTTCCCAGGCTGTAGTACCTCCCTGTTTGGTAGCTGCCTACTGCCTACAGATTATTATTACTATTGTCATTATTGTTGTTATTATTATTATTGTTGTCTTTTTGTTTTGTCACCACCTTGTATGTCATCCGTGTATGCCAACATTTTTCACAACACCGTAAGATACAGCATTTATTCCTACTAACTTGTTTTAGTGCGACATCGTGGTTGAGGAAGGAGGAGTGACACTCACCATGGTTGAGTGACCAACTGACGGAGGGTCGAGGGTGTCCCGCGGCGGTACACTCAAGGACAACCGCCGTGCCCAGGTAAGTGCCAACAGCCTCATAAACAGCATCTACTCTCGGGGCACCTGAGTGTCGGATTGACAGTGTGAGAAACATATTCAGACTGTGAGTGACAGTCATAATACACTTAATATAACATACTACTCCTATTGCTGTAATCTCTGTATGTATATTATGTATGCTGTATGTAGGCTATATTATGTATGTGCTCCATTTATATACATTATTTATTCAGCATAGCTAGCAGCGTGTGGCAATGTATTTACCATGTCCCACACGCTTAATTAATGTGCCTGGCGACATATGGAAGCTGCTAATGTATCACTTGCCACATGTCGCCTGAAAGGCCAGTTGACCCCCAGACAGAGTAGGGAGAGCCGTTTCGCTTAATAATAATAATAATAATAATTAACGGTTTATTCAAAAAGTTCTGCAGCCCGAAGGCTGAAAATATACAATGGACATAAATGACTTATTACATACATTGGTGGTTTAACAAAAGCCTTCATTAGAGAAAGGTAAAGGAACATACAGTGAACATACAGATTAATGTAGGTGTTGAACAGCAAACTCGTAGTGTAGTAACTCCCTCCCAGATGGTGTTAGGAGGAACTCACGTGGTGTCCACTCAGATGGTGTTATGAGGGGCTCACGTGGTGTAGGCGATGTAGTAAGGGGCGTGGTGTAGTAATTGATGTGTTATGAGGGACCTCACGTGGTGTAGTAATTCCCTCACAGATGGTGTTATGAGGGGGCACGTGGTGTAGTAATCACAGATGGTGTTATGAGGGACCTCACGTGGTGTAGTAATTACCTCACAGATGGTGTTATGAGGGACCTCACGTGGTGTAGTAATTACCTCACAGATGGTGTTATGAGGGGCCTCACGTGGTGTAGTAACTCCCTCACAGATGGTGTTATGAGGGGCATCACGTGGTGTAGTAATTCCCTCACAGATGGTGTTATGAGGGGCCTGACGTGGTGTAGTAATTCCCTCACAGATGATGTTATGAGGGACCTCACGTGGTATAGTAATTCCCTCACAGATGGTGTGATGAGGGACTTGACGTGGTGTAGTAATTCCCTCACATATGGTGTTATGAGGGACATGTGGTGTAGTAATTCCCTCACAGATGGTGTTATATGAGTGAGGTTTGTTCCCAGGCCTTCCTATCGTAGACGGATTAACACATCGGTGGTTGTTGTTGGGTCTCGCTGGCCGTTATCACTGGGTACCTGGGATCTCACTGTGTGAAGGTTATCTTGGGTACGACTGTTACTGTTGAGTTGTTCTCACTGACTTAAGCACTGTTCACCACTGTTCACCTCTGTTTAACATTGGTTCCGTTCCTTTCCTAAATGAAATTATAACTTCTGGCGAGAACTTGTTGATATTCCGGTGGGGAGGAGGGTTCAGGGGAGGGGGTTGGTATGGGCCAACTTAACAGTTGACCTGGCTGCTCCGAGAGGAGCGCCAGGTACGTCTTGACCCTTCGGTGGTCAAGGATGTGTATCTCTGTCTGTCCAGTAAATAGAACCTACGAAAACTCTACAGGTGTTTGTGTTCGCTCCTGTAGATAGAACTTGGTACCCAGAACATATACAATCTCTACTTACATTTCACTCATGCTTCTTGTCTACTGTATTCACTCATTACAGTTAAGGGTTTAGTTATGTAAAACACGTTAACACCTAACACACACACACGCATACACCTCTAACTACTCTAGTATCTACCTCAGTATTAACACACGTGCATCTGTTATTACTGTAGGCAAGTTTAGGTTTAGGCGCGAGATAGGTAAACTTTGGCTGTGAAATACAGTAGTGGATGAGTGGAACAAGATACTGAACATCATCATTAACTCGAACACGCTGGATAGCTTCAAATATAAGTTGGTCGGATATATGAGCGATAGGGGTTGGGTGTAAATGGGACTGCCCAGTATGGCCCAATAGGCCCGCTGCAGTTTCCTCCATTCTTATATTCTTAATTTCTATCTGTATTAAACTCCTATATCTGTCCTTACAGTAATCTCTACCTGTATTTTACTCCTTCCACTCATCACCTGTACTCCGTCAGCACTGCACTCCCTGACACTCACCTGTGCTGACACTCCTGCTATCATGCTCTTTCACCTCCGGTACACGACTTGGGAGCTCTGAAATACAGTTAAGTTACATATTAGTGAGTTAGTCATCCCTAGGTGCATGTACCCTGACTGTGTGTGTGTAGTAATGATTATAGTTACCGGTTTATTGAACAAGTTACAGCAGCCCGAAGGCTAAAAATATACACTGGGTAGAAATAAGTTATTACATACACTGACACGAGGAAGTGAGGCATTTAGCTAAAGTTTTCAATAAAGAAAAGAAAGGGACATAAAGTTAACATACAAATTATAGTTTACACTGACTGGCAGGTGCTGGCTTCTTGCCCTACTGTGTGAGGTCACGTAGGCCACGTGCACTAAAAATGTTGAACAGCAATCACGTGCTGCATTAACTCGTTCACAGGTGTTGTCATGAGAGACCTCACGTGCTACAGTAACTCGTTCACAGGTGTTGTCATGAGAGACCTCACGTGCTGCAGTAACTCCTTCACAGGTGTTGTCATGTTGTCATGAGAGACCTCATGTGCTGCAGTAACTCGTTCACAGGTTTTGTCATGAGAGACCTCATGTGCTGCAGTAGCTCGTTCACAGGTGTTGTCATGAGAGACCTCACGTGCTGCAGTAGCTCGTTCACAGGTGTTGTCATGAGAGACCTCACGTGCTGCAGTAGCTCGTTCACAGGTGTTGTCATGAGAGACCTCACGTGCTGCAGTAACTCGTTCACAGGTGTTGTCATGAGACCTCACGTGCTGCAGTAACTCGTTCACAGGTGTTGTCATGAGACCTCACGTGCTGCAGTCTCGTTCACAGGTGTTGTCAGTAGCTCGTTCATGATGACCTCACGTGCTGCAGTAGCTCGTTCACAGGTGTTGTCATGAGAGGCCTCGTGCTGCAGTAGCTCGTTCCTGGGTGTTGTCATGAGAGAGCCTCACGTGCTGCAGTAGCTCGTTCACAGGTGTTGTCATGAGAGACCTCACGTGCTGCAGTAACTCGTTCACAGGTGTTGTCATGAGACCTCACTTGCTGCAGTAACTCGTTCACAGGTGTTGTCATGAGACCTCACGTGCTGCAGTAACTCGTTCACAGGTGTTGTCATGAGACCTCACGTGCTGCAGTAACTCCTTCACAGGTTTTGTCATGAGACCTCACGTGCTGCAGTAACTCGTTCACAGGTGTTGTCATGAGACCTCACTTGCTGCAGTAACTCGTTCACAGGTGTTGTCATGAGACCTCACGTGCTGCAGTAACTCGTTCACAGGTGTTGTCATGGGAACACCACCCGGTGTCATGGGGACACGGTGTGGTGTGGTGTCACAGTACCTCACTCACTGCCATGTGGTGGTGTAGTACCTTACAGTTAGGTGTCCCAGCGTGGACTGATTAGCGTCCACCAGGAGTTGTTGGTTCCCATGAGCGGTTACCTATGGGTATCCTGGGACCTTACTGATGGGTTTGAGGGTTGTCGTGGCCACGGCCCTCAGTTGTTTCTGTTTAACGTTGATTTCACTGCTTTAAACATTGTCACTTTTGTTGGGATTTTGGTGGTATCCCGGTGGGGAGGAAAGGTTGAGGGGAGGAAATTGGGATGGGGACCAACACTCTGGCTCTGGCAGCTGCCGAAGCACTGCATAGAAATCCTGCGACTCTGGTGGTCAGAACACAAGTTTGTGTGTGTGTGTGTGTGTGTGTCAGTCAGTAGCAACAGCCTTGGATTGGGTGGCAGAGGAAAGGAGGGAACTCACCAAACACGGTGACGCGGGCCTGAGAGGAGGCGAGATAGTTGTCTGCCGTACACAGGTAGGTGGTGAAGGCTTCAGGGGTGAGGAGGGGCAGCCACATCATGGTGTGGTCTTCGTGCCAGCGTACCCACGGCCTCTCCTCTGGGCTCTGATACATCACACTTCCTGTCCACATCATCACAGCAGCACTTCATGAACTTCATTCTCCCATAAATGTTGAAGTATAATAGATATAAAGTGTACAGAGCTCTTATATTAACTTGCTTTAACAACTAAGGTCTTGAAGCATAGACAAGGAGTGTAGGTTGTACATTAAAAAACATTTAGTAAGTAGAAAAAGTGGATTAGCTGAAGCGTATCCCCAATCTTACATCAATTAAAATTAACAACCCTAACTTAACCTAACCTAGTCCCACATAACCTAACTTAACCTAACCTAACTAGTTACATATTGTATAACTCACATTAGGGAGGTGAACACAATACCTGCTCACGGTCGTAGTCTCCACTTAACTCTAGATACTGACCGTTAAGGTGTGTCCAGGTGAGGGTGGGTGGTGGTGACCCTTTCACTAGGCACTTGAGCACCACTCGGGCGCCCAACACTCCGCCCACCACAGCCTCGCTCGCCTCTACCTCTGCTCCGTCTGCGGTGGCCAAGATAATTATGGTTTACCTGTCTGTGTGTTTACCTGTGCTACCGTTTTCTCTTATAACACCAAATTAGAAATAATCTTTAATTTCTTGATCCCACAGTAATGCACGGCATATACCCGGCGTGTGCTTTATTGTGTAACTTAAATAATATTCTTAGATGAGATGTGAAGGATTACCTACATATTTAGGCATTCATGACGTCACTAAAGAAAGACTTGGAAAACATTAAAAATTAGAATAACTTTGTAAAATAGGACGAACGGGTGGAACTTAAAGATGGCGTCACATTCAACCAGCTAAGGAACATCAGGCATGCAGTAGGCGAGGAATTCCTGAAGAAAAGCATCTTTGAAAATTAAATATATCTCCGTTGAATTTGTGAGGGTTGTGTTTTAATGACTCGAGAGATTAATAGTCAAACAAAGAATTGGAGGAATGTTATTAGGACTCAAAAAATTTGCTTATAAAACTATAATATTATTCTTAAGTCACTGTAGGTAACTTTAAGACCTAAATTAAAACTCAGAGTTTAGTGACATGACAGCACGTATCATAAGAACATAAGAACATAAGAAAATAAGGAGTCTGCAATAGGCCGGTTGGCCTGTGCATGGCAGCTCCTGTCGAGAGTTACTACCACTCTCTATCATCCATGAATCTATCTAGCCTCCTTTTGAAACTTTCCAGAGTTCCCGCACTTACTACAAAGTTGCTAAGCTTGTTCCACTCGTCCACCACCCTATTTGTGAACCAGTTCCTTCCTATCTCCCTCCTAAACCTAAACTTATCCAACTTGAATCCGTTGCTCCGAGTCCTATCCTGCTCGGATATTATAAGAACTTTATCTATATCCCCTTTATTGATTCCTTTCACCCTCTTAAATACTTCTATCATATCTCCCCGCACTCTTCGTCATTAATGAGGAGACTGAGGAAGATTATCATGTCGTCGAATTCGCTTGATAAAGATGTTGTTTTTCTATAAATTGTCCTAAAATTTATTGTTTAGTTTATTGTCTTAAGATTGTATTAACGTATTGTTACATTCTTCCTCAGCCACTGGTGCGGTGAGTTGAGGGAGGAAGGAAGGTAACAGTGCTACGGTGTATCACTGTAATACAAGCAGGTATGCATTCGTGAAGCTGCTCCAACGATATCACGTAAACATTTATTTATGTAATATTTTACAGTACTGACACGTAAGAATAGTGCTGATGGAGAAGCTTTATAAATCCATTTGAAGTCTAATGAAAGTGTTTAAAACTTGAAGTCATTCCTTGCTTCAATTTCTAATAAGTTTACTCCTTAGTTTAGTGTGAAACTGGAGAAAGGTCATAGAGCGATAGACAAGTTATACTTATTATTATTTGCCTCACAGTGGACAACGAGGTGTACGTGATGGGTAGTGGTGGGGCCGCGGGTGGTGGTGGTGCAAGTGTAGGTGGCAGCGTCTCTCCTGTTAACACTGGGGAAGTGTAGCTCCTCTCCCTCCGCCATCACCGCGCTTCCTGTAGGGGCACACTCTCTTGTTAGTCTCTGTCAGGTGGTGAGTATATTAACAGAGGGTGTGGTCTGTGTACGGTAAACAGAGAGTGTGGTCTGTGTACGGTAAACAGAGTGTGTGGTCTGTGTACGGTAAACAGAGTGTGTGGTCTGTGTACGGTAAACAGAGTGTGTGGTCTGTGTACGGTAAACAGAGTGTGTGGTCTGTGTACGGTAAACAGAGAGTGTGGTCTGTGTACGGTAAACAGAGAGTGTGGTCTGTGTGGTCTGTGTACGGTAAACAGAGTGTGTGGTCCGTGTACTGTAAACAGAGTGTGTGGTCCGTGTACGGTAAACAGAGTGTGGTCTGTGTACGGTAAACAGAGAGTGTGGTCTGTGTACGGTAAACAGAGAGTGTGGTCTGTGTACGGTAAACAGAGAGTGTGGTCTGTGTACGGTAAACAGAGAGTGTGGTCTGTGTACGGTAAACAGAGTGTGTGGTCTGTGTACGGTAAACAGAGAGTATGGTCTGTGTACGGTAAACAGAGAGTGTGGTCTGGTAAACTAAATAACAGACAATTTATCAACCTCACTACAGTATCAGGTGGTGCTGACCCAGGGGTAAGGGAGGCTCCAGCGTGACGTTGATGGCAGCATTGTCCAGTCTACGCCAGGTGACGGTGTTGGCCTCACTCCACTTGATGGGACAGCGGAGTTTCACAGCCTCGCCTTCCCTCCTTATCACTTCATCTTCCTTCGTCACCACGCCATCATTAGGTTCCTCCACCACCACTCTTAGATAAACCTTCTGCAAAAGTCAGTACACACTTGTAATTATGTTTGTGTTGGGGGGTTTGTATCTGTCTGAGTTTGTTTCTGTGCCTGTTATCTCTCTATCATTGTATGTATGTGTATCAGCGTCTGTATGTTTGTATGTATGTGTGTGTGTCAGTTTAAAATCGCTGGATCTTTTTTTTCTTCTTATTTTGAACATTTTGAACACACTGTTTCGACCAGCCAAAATATATTAACAATCAGCTTTCACTAACATGTGTATTGTATCAAAATTTAGGTCATAAAAATACTATGGGACTCTCACATCATTGATCAGAGGTGAGGGAGTCATTTGTTGGACATCTAAGAGAGAATTACATTTACAAAAAGAGTTTCTGCTCCGTTCTTTCCTTCCGTTTCTGAGAGGAAAACTAAGGTAGATAAAAATTAATGAGATGTTTTGCTTTAAAGAGTGATAGAAAGAAAGACATGCGATACACGTACGATTATAATTGACTGACAAACGAAAATAATTACAAACTTAGGTAAAAAAAAATAGATTGAGAGACATAAAGAAACATATATATATATATTTAAAGAGAGAGAGAGAGAGAGAGAGATGTTTGAAGAAAGAAATAAGATGATTAATTTTATCAGTCTGGGAAAATAATGTTGGGAAATTAATTGCCCAGAGCTAATGACTTTTCAAATTTACTTACCCTGGTTTTTTTTTCTCAATTTGGGGTTCTATGAGTGTTTGGTCATGTGGCTATTTTGTTATGAAATCAACGAAGACACATTATATTTGCTAGTTTATGAAAAATCATTTATACGATATCATAATTATTCCTCATACCAGTTTTTCACTTTATCCTACACTGTAAACTTTTAGATATGTTCAAGTTCACAGCCCTCCTCATGGCACATATCAGACTATCTATGGTTTTTGGCACTTGTGTTCACCACCAACTCCTCTTCTAAGCAAGACACCACATACTATCGGGATCCCTCCCCTATCTCTAACCTTCCCTAGCACCTCCCTATACCTCTTGAAAAGTTCTTCACTCCTAACCTTTCCTATGGCGCTACCTCTTACACTAAGACACACTACTGGCTTGGTACCCTCCCCTGACAGAACCCTGTCTATCCTCTCAGCTACATGCCCTATCCCAGCCCCAGGAAAACACACCCTAGTCCTACGTTTCCTATCTATTTCACAATATCTAAGAACCTCACCTGGCTGTCCCCAACTACCACGACCTTACCACCGCCCTTTCTTCTCCCGCCACCACACCGTCCTGCCTCTTCTCTTCCTCGGCAGCTTCCTCCAACACGTTGTAGGGGTTAAGGCACTCCTCACCCTGGTCAGCTTTCCTGAGGCTGACCTTAGTTCTCTTGGAGACAACCACTCTCCACTCCTGCTCCTCCTGACTCTCCTTTGTAGGTGTCCAGCTAGGCAGGATACCCACCTAAAGGAGGGGTTCGTTCTCCCCCTTCAAAACGTCCATCTCTTGCCCTCAACTGCTCCAGCTCACTTGCTAGATACACTAACATAAAAGACACTTTCCCTGCTAAAAACGCGGGCTAGTTCGGGCTGTCGGTCTATATAAGTCTTCCCACTCTAACAGTAACTATACAGGTAACTGAAGATAGATGCTTACCTGAGATGTACGGATCTTGGAGCTGACCTGACAAACATAGGTCCCTGCGTCGCTAGGCCGGGCGTTTTGGATGGTGAGGTGGTGACGAGCGATACCGTTCACCAGGTGGTAGTGGGCGTTGAGGCGGGGGTCGTTGATCACCACTGTGTTGTGCAGCACCAGCTCTTTATTGGGTGAGCCTCGCTTGAACCACCCCAGCTGGTGATGGATAATGTAGAGGGTTAGTGTACGAGATGTCACCATGGCAGTCGCTGGTGTGATGTCTGTGAAGTGGGTCTCAATAAGTCTGACAGAAATGATACAGCAAACTGAATACTTAGTCTTTTATACACGAGGAGCCTGGTGTGACCGCCACTGTCTTCACTGTTCTAACTATATTTCTTCAAATTCACATTTTCTTTTCCAAGGATTATCCCATATTTTATTTTCTCCTGAAGAGTGTGTCATGTCTTGTGTATCACACTTTAAGTGAGTCTTACCTGACCTTCATTTCACCATAAATGTGTCTCACCATAAGTGTCTCACCTTAACCCTCTCAGTGCTCCATGTGTTCTCTAAACTGAATAAAATCGCCAGAATAAAAACCCTGGCTTAAAAGGCCGGGAGCACTGAATGGGTCAAGTGCCTCTCAGGTGGAGTGTGTCTCACCTGAAGTGTGTCATGTGGAGTGCATCTCAGCACAATAGTGTCTCACCTTAAAATGCACCTCACCCTTTGTGTTTACCATAATTATGCCTCGGGTGGAGTGTGTCTCACCTTAAGTGTACTTGACCTTTTAAATGCCTCACCTTGTAGTGGCCAGGGTGGTGGACGTCACACACTAGGGAGGCGGAGTGACCTGCCATTACCCTCACCTCACGGCTGCCCAACACCACCACGGGCCTCTCCTCCTCCTTCCCTGCTGGACATAAGAACAGAACATAAGAAAATAAGGAGTCTGCAATAGGCCGGTTGGCCTGTGCATGGCAGCTCCTGTCGAGAGTTACTACCACTCTTTATCATCCATGAATCTATCTAGCCTCCTTTTGAAACTTTCCAGAGTTCCAGCACTTACTACAAAGTTGCTAAGCTTGTTCCACTCGTCCACCACCCTATTTGTGAACCAGTTTCTTCCTATCTCCCTCCTAAACCTAAACCTATCCTACTTAAATCCGTTGCTCCGAGTCCTATCCTGCTCGGATATTATAAGAACTTTATCTATATCCCCTTTATTGATTCCTTTCACCCACATAAATACTTCTATCATATCTCCCCCGCACTCTTTGTCTTTCTAGGGAATGCAAGTTGAGTTTCTTTAACCTATCCTGATATGGAAGGTTTCTAAGCCTCGGAATCATTTTCGTCATTCTTCGCTGCACCGACTCTAGTGAATTGATATCCATTCTGTAATAAGGGCACCACAACTGAACTGCATAATCGAGGTGCGGCCAGACTAGCGCAAGATTTAGTTGCAATAAGACATCTGCACTCTTATTACTTACACTTCTAGATATAAAACCCAATACTCTGTTTGCCTTATTTCGAACATTAATGCACTGTTTTCTACGCCGTAGGTCCGGGCTTACAAGTACCCCTAGGTCTCTTTCACAAGTCGACTTCTCTAGGTTGATGTTGTTAAGGCTGTATACATTGTCAGTATTTGTTCTTCCAATATTAAGTATGCTGCACTTGCTGATGTTGAATTTCATTTGCCATTTTTCAGACCACCCCTGCAGCTTATTTAGATCCTCCTGTCATGCATTTGCAACCTGCCCTGAATTAATCTGCCGCCCTATTTTGGTGTCATCCGCAAACTTGCTTATGTCACTGCTAATCCCAGTATCTAGATCGTTTATGTAGATTATGAACAAGAGTGGGCCTAGTACTGACCCCTGGGGAACCCCACTGGTTACACTGCCCCACTCAGATTTAACACCATCTACACTGACCCTCTGCGTTCTATCGGTGAGCCATGATTTTATCCAATTTAAAACTTTCCCCTCGATACCATGAGCCTTAATTTTTCTCAGAAGCCTCTGATGCGGTACTCTGTCAAATGCTTTGCTAAAGTCTAAGTAAATAACATCGTAATTTTCGTCAATATCTACTACCTCGAAGACTTTCCTAAAAAACGTCAGCAGATTTGTTAGACAAGATTTTCCCTTTGTAAACCCATGTTGCGAGTCGTAGATTAATTGGCTTTTCTCTAGATGCGATCGGATGCTATCTGCTATAATTGATTCAAGAAATTTCCCCACTACTGACGTCAAACTGATCGGCCAGTAATTTGACGCTGATGCCCTGTCTCCCTTTTCGAATATGGGTACTACATTTGCCTGTTTCCACAAGTCTGGCACAACTCCGGTGTCTAATGATTTTGTAAATAAATTTACAAGGGGTCCGCTAATCTGTTCCCTACACTCTTTCAAGACTCGAGGGAAAATTTCATCCGGCCCTGGGGATTTTGTCTTTAGTTTATTTATCCTCTTAAGAACATCCTCTTTTCTGATAGTGATATTCTTTAATTTCTCTTCTTCCATTCCCCTAAATATCAGTTCCACCTCTGGAATTGCCTCGCAAATTTCTTCTGTGAAAACTGGTAAGTAGTAATAGTTCAATGCTTTGCTTATTTCTTCACAGCCATTTATCACTTCTCCCTTCCCTGACTTTAAAGGCCCAACTTTGTCCTTGACTTTTGTTCTATATACCTGGAAAAATCCCTTGTGATTCGCCTTGGATTCTCTTGCTATTTTGATTTCATAGTCTCTCTTTGCTTTCCTTACATTTTTCTTAACATTCCTAGATAGCTCATTATACCTATTTCTGAGCTGTTCTTCCCCTCCCTTTAATTTCTTCTATATTTCTTTCTTTATTCCTATGTCATGTTTAAGTTTTCTGGTCATCCACCTTGGCTCATTCTTATTTGACCTAATTTTTCTGTATGGTATATTTTGTTCTTGTGCTTTACGTAGTATATTAGTGAATACATTATGGTCATGATCAATTGTTGTGTCATCTATGACCTCACCCCTTCCTACTGGGGACTGACGTGACTGTTCCCAGGTGACCTCACCTAGGTACTTTCTTAATCCCTGATAATCCGCCAACCGAAAGTTTGGGACTCTGACCATATTGTCATTGTTTTTTGTTTCCCAATTTAGGGTGAACCTGATTTCTCTGTGATCACTGTTACCTATTTCTTCCCCTAGTGTGATATCTCTGATAATATTTAATTTATTTGTTAATACTAGGTCTAATATATTGTCACCTCTAGTAGGTTCTGTAATTAGTTGTTTCAAAAAATTGTCCTGTACTGCGTCTAGGAAGTCTTCAAATTCATAGTCACCTACAATGTTGTCCCAGTCAATATTTCTGAAGTTGAAGTCCCCCATAATGCATAGGTTGTTATATTTTGCTGCCCTACTCATTTCCTGTCATGTGGGCTGAGCTGCTTCTTTGCCCAGACTTGGGGGCTTGTAAATCACTCCCATAATTAGTTTTTCTCTTCCTTCCGTGATTTCTAGCCATACAGACTCGGTTCCCATTTCACCCTTTATTGAATTATTAATACAACATTTTAATGTATCCTTGACGAAGAGTGCGACCCCTCCCCAATTCCTACCTTCCCTGTCCTTGTGAAAAAGGTTGTACCCTTCTATGTGGTACTCTGATAAAAAAAATTTGCTCGCCAGATTCATCCAAGTTTCGGTGATTGCTATGACGTCTACATTCTCGGTACATACAACCGCTCTCAGCAAGTCTATTTTATTTCTAACGCTCCTACTGTTTGTATAGTATACATTTAAGCCTACCCTTCCCTGGTCCTGTTTTACCCCTTGTCCTGAGTAACTAATTTTACTTCCCAGGACCTGCTTGTTTTTTGACTCCCACTTTCCCCGACCTCTCTCTACTGGCGAAACCCCCCCTTTGGAGTGACAATTTCACGCTCCAGGGATGCAGACAACGTCTTTACCCCCGCACGAGACAAGTGTACTCCGTCACGACTGTACAGGTAGTCGTTGCCATAGAATCGTTGCCAGCTATCAATGAATGCCCAACCATTGTTTGCACAATGTTTTTCCAGTCGGCAATTTATAGCAATTGCCCTGGACAGCCATTCACGACCAACCCCTCTTCTAGGCAAGACACCACATACTATCGGGATCCCTCCCCTATCTCTAATCTTCCCCAGCGCCTCCCTATACCTCTTGAAAAGTTCCTCACTCCTAACCTTTCCTATGTCGTTTCCTCCCACACTAAGACACACTACTGGATTGGTACCCTCCCCTGACAAAACCCTGTCTAACCTCTCAGCTACATGCCCTATCCCAGCCCCAGGAAAACACACCCTAGTCCTACGTTTCCTATCTCTTGTACAAAAAGTCCTATCTAAAAACCTCACCTGGCTGTCCCCAACTACCACGACCTTACCTCTGGGCAGGGTTTGTACAACTGCCCTTTCCTCTACCTGCACCACACTTTCCTGCCTCTTCTCTTCCTCGCCAGCTTCCTCCAGCACCTGGTAGGGGTTCCTACATTCCACACCCTGGTCAGCTTTCCTGAGCCGACAGTTATAGATCTAGAACTGGTCACAAACCCTCTGTAACTCTTTAACTATATGATCTATGTCTAGATATAACGCATCATTATTTGACACACACCCCCGCTGTAACGTGACACACACACACACCCTCTGTCACTTGACACACATCCTCTGTAACTTGACACACACACACTCTTCATCCTTGACCACCGAAGGGTCAAGACGTACCTGGCGCTGCTCTGGCAGCAGCCAGTTCAACTGTTACGTTGGCCCATAACAACTCCCTCCCCTGAACCCCTCCTCCCTACCGGAATATCAACAAGTTCTTGCCAGAAGTTACAATTTCATTTAGGAAAGGAGTGGAACCAGTGTTGAACAGAGGTGAACAGTGCTTAAGCCAGTGAAAACAATGCAACAGCAACAGCTGAGAGTCGTACCCATGCTAACCTTCACACAGTGAGGTCCCAGGTACCCAGTGATGTCTGCCCATGAAACCCAACAACAAGCAATGATGTGTTAATCTGTCCACGATAGGGAGGCCTGGGACTGCACCTGACTGTACACCACTTGAGTGAGTGAAGTCCTGTGACACCAGGCCATGTGGTGCCCCCATGACGCTATGACACCACGTAGTGAATGAGTTGCTACAGCATCACGTGAGATCCCTCATTGCACCATCTGAGAGGGAGTTACCACACCGTCAGGTCCCTCATAGCACCATCTGTGAGGGAGTTACAACACCACGTCAGGTCCCCCATAACACCATCTGAGAGGGAATTACTACACCCTTTGGAACTTGACACAAAAGCCTCTGTAACTTGACACAAAAGCCTCTGTAACTTGACACACACACCCTTTGTAGCTTGACACACACCCTCTGTAAAATGACACATACACACACACACACACACACACACACACACACACACACCCCCTCTGTAGCTTGACACACACACACACCTTCTGTAGCTTGACACACACACACACACACACCTTCTGTAGCTTGACACAATGACACACACACCCTCTGTAACCTGACACACGCAGTTATATGAATTTTATCCACAAATTATAGTTTCATGAACAGGGATCAGCTCAGCACTTTGTCACAATATTTTAGTAAATACAGGCAGTATTTTAACCCTTTTGTTGGCGGAGGGGTTAAGCCATCATCTTGATAGGGTTAAGTCGTCGTACACAAAAGGGTTGAACCGTCTTCCCCAAAGGGTTGAACCGTCTTCCCCAAAGGGTTAAAACATCATCTTTAAAGAGGTACAATTTCTGGTTAACTTTCCTCCTACAGGATGTAAAGTTAACTAGAAGTATCACGAGTCGGCTCAGTTCCCGTAGAAATTTGATCTAAATCATTTTATTATATTCTGCTCGGGGGAATCTATCCTCGACTGTATTCTATTTCTAGGGGAAAAGTAATGGGTGGTGAAGGGTCGTCTGAGGGGTGACTTGACCCTTTCACAGTGGGTAGGATGAGTAATGGTGGAACGAGACAGAAGTTCAAGTACTAATTGTTTAATACAGTAGTAGACACCGAGAACAGGAGAAGACAGACCCTGGAATATTACCGAGTTGTGGGTAGAAGGATAAATGTATCCCTGGTGGCATAGTGACCTCCTGCCCTCACCACCACCACTCACCAACACGCGTGACACTCACCAACACACGTGACACTCACCAACACACGTGACACTCACCAACACACGTGACACTCACCAACACACGTGACACTCACCAACACACGTGACACTCACCAACACGCGTGACACTCTCCAACACACGTGACACACTCACCGTACAGCGTGATGGCTGCCTCAGATTCCCCCACGGGGTTGGAGGCCTTACACGAGTACCACCCATACTGGTGTGTCGTCAGGTTGTGTAGTGTGAGGGTGAACCTGCCGGAGGGTGTGGACCCGCCACCTGGTAACACGGTACCTGTGACCCATAAAAGGTAAGAGTCGTGACATTAATCTGCGATGTTAAAAGTCCTTAATTGTATATCAGTTGACCTCGGCCTTGACCTGTATCTTTTTATAATCTCAACAAAATGCAAAACACTTAACGAGGACAAATTTTTTTAAAGGAAATATCATTAGTGGCAAGATAGTGGTTAAAGGTTATTCGATCGACCTTTCACCCTGTGACCTTTATTAGACTTTGACCAACCAAGAAGTTTGGAGGGACATTATCCACAATGTAAAGGGTGAGGCGGAGGAAGAAGTACTGACCATTGGGGAGTTTCCATTGGAGGGAGGGTGGAGGGTAGCTGTACACCTCACACTCCAGGGTGACAGAGGCGCCCAGCGGGGATCTCACCATCTCCTGGGTAGCCCACACCTCAGCTAGGTCTGTCGGTCACACTCACACACATGAATCAAAACCTAGCAAAAACAAAAATCTCCCTGGCAAAACATGTAATATTGTTGTGTTGCGTGTTGACAGTATTGCTCCACCCGAGACCAGCACAACAGTAGCCATTAAAAGAAATGTTAATAAGGTGTCATCTTCCCTGAGGGCTGACGACTATGGCGCCCTCCACTTCAAGCTCAAGGGGCATCTAATCTTGAGACAAGGACGTAACACTGGAAGAAGGAGGTGTCTCTACCCCTCATCCTTACCTTCTCGATTAAGATGAATATCTTAGAAAATAGAATATACAGGAATTGATAATAAGAGAATCGATTCGTTTTTATGTTCCGTGGAAAGGTGATGAAGCAATTAGTGATGCATGTTTTGTGTGTAATGAAGATGGTTTAAATATTTACTCTTTGTTATACATACGGTGAGTGAAGGCGTTTTAGACGAAGATAAGTTAGTTCGTGTGTGTGTGTGTGTGTGTGTGGGGTAACAATACTCTCATGATACTAGTTTTTACTCACATAGAACAGCCAGACGGATGTTACGGGTGTGGAGGATGTCGCGGGTGCTGACCGTACAAGTATAGTTGCCAGCGTCGTTTCGTCTCACGTCTGTCAACTTGAGCCTTCTGCCTGTGACTGAGGAACACCTTAGATCCAGCCTCTTCCACTACCCAAGTAACTTTAGATATTTACTTAAATGCAATATTGTTTTGGATGTTATTAGTGTATGTGGATTAGCTTATTTTTTTAAGATTAAAAATTTTAAGATTTTCATTATTATTATTATTATTATTATTATTATTATTATTATTATTATTATTATTATTATTAGAGGTACTCGGTGTTGCCCGGGCTTGATTTTGAGGGGTAACTCATAGCTTATCCTTGACTACTCCTACTCTACAGTACATGCACTGCACCATCATCTACACTTCACCCATTACACAATCTAAACTACTACCTCTTCATAATCCTCTACACTCCATCCACTACACTTTCTACACAACAGCCACAGCGCTTCATTTTCACAATAAGAAGTGGTGGAACTCTAGTGAGCCAGATACAGATGCTGACCGAGCCTCTGGGACTAGCAAGGCACCTCGTATAATCGCTAAAACCAGTAGGAACACATTGTGAAGAAATTATATACACTTTACTGATGGCTGTATTTGTTCATATATGATGACATTTATAATTTGCTCATGCAAAATGAATGTGCTGGACTGCCGTTCCGATACGTTCCGGCACAAATTAAGCATTGCATCCACTGCACTATCATTTACACTACATCAACTGCACCATAATCTACAATACACCAGCCACACTATCATTTTTATATTGTGGTCGGCCCCTGCGAGGCTACCCCCATCTCCTAATTTAAATGTGTTATTAATGAGGGTGGCTCCACCTTCGGGGTACGGCTCGGCCCCTGTGAGGCTAACCCAAATATCTGCCTTCAGGACACTTCTGGGGCTAGGTTCTTCTCTTTCATAACTGTAGCGAACAAACAAAATACACAAAAAACAAACAAACGAACAAAGGCACAGACAGCGTGTTTTGTAATGTAGATTATCATTATCGTTAATATCATCATGATCATCCTCATTATTTATACAATTATCCGTCATGATACAGACACAAGAACACTGCTGTACCCACCTACTGCCCTGGGCGTCTTCTTACCCTCAACATACATTAAGCCCCTGTCCTGCCTTCTCCAGGTCACCAGGGGTTCCATGTGACCTACGGCAGGGCAGTCTAGGGTCGCAACACCTCCCTCCTCCACCTCCACCACCTCTGGCGTCTGCTCTATTACCGGAAGCGTCGAATGCACCGTCAGGTAGATGTCCTGCGGGAGTAAGGGAGGTGGAGTGTTTGTTGTGTTGTGTCTTAACTTGTTGTAGTGAACCCCCCATGTGAGGCAGCTTCTTATTACCTTCACCATCATCACATATAACCACCACCGTCATCATTACCACCATCATTATCACCACCACCATCATCATCATCATCATCATCATCACCACCACCATCATCATCACCACCACCATCATTATCATCACCACCATCATTATCACCACCACCACCATCACTACCATCATTATCACTACAACCATCATCATCATTATTATCACCACAACCGTCATCATCACCACAACCGTCATCATCACCACCGTCATCATCACCACAACCGTCATCATCACCACAACCGTCATCATCACAACCGTCATCATCACCACAACCGTCATCATCACCACAACCGTCATCATCACCACAACCGTCATCATCACCACAACCGTCATCATCATCATCACCACAACCGTCATCATCATCACCACAACCGTCATCATCACCACCACAACCGTCATCATCACCACCACAACCGTCATCACCACAACCATCATCATCACCACAACCGTCATCATCACCACCACCACAACCGTCATCATCACCACCACAACCGTCATCATCATCATCACCACCACAACCGTCATCATCACCACAACCGTCATCACCACCACAACCATCATCACCACAACCGTCATCATCACCACAACCGTCATCATCACCACCACAACCGTCATCATCACCACCACAACCGTCATCACCCACCACAACCGTCATCATCACCACAACCGTCATCATCACCACCACAACCGTCATCATCACCACCACAACCGTCATCATCACCACCACAACCGTCATCATCACCACCACAACCGTCATCATCACCACACAACCATCACATCACACAACCGTCATCATCACCACCACAACCATCATCATCACCACAACAAATCATCATCAACACACCACAACCGTCATCATCACCACCACAACCGTCATCATCACCACCACAACCGTCATCATCACCACCACAACCGTCATCATCACCACCACAACCATCACCACCACCACAAACCGTCATCATCACCACCACAACCATCATCACCACCACAACCGTCATCATCACCACCACAACCGTCATCATCACCACCACAACCGTCATATCACCACAACCGTCATATCACCACAACCGTCATCATCACCACCACAACCATCATCACCACCACAACCGTCATCACCACCACAACCGTCATCATCACCACAACCGTCATCACTACCAGAACCATCTTCACCACCAGAACCACCATTATCATCACCATAACCACCACCACCACCACCATCATCACCACTACTATCATATCATCACCATCATATGACATGCCCCCATCTCACTTCTAATAGACGTGTGGCTACAGTAACCTAGCTATTCAATAAGACAAGGGGCTCATGGGGCGTGTTAGGCTAAGTCAAGGTTACGCCGAGTTAAATTACGGTTGTTTATGTGAAGGTTAAGTTAGTTTAAGGTTATTGAGGTTGAATTTCGTTAGGTGAAGGTTTGATTAGTTTTAGGTTAGGATAACGTTAATTTAGGTTAATCTTAGGTTAGGCTAGCTTAAGGTTAGATTAATGTTACATTGGTTTAAGATTGTGTTAGAAATTATGTTACTTTAATGTTGGTTTAGGTAATGTTTAGTTGAAGGTAAATTTGATTTGGTTAAGGTTAACATATAGGATAAGGTCAGGTCAGGTCAGGACAGGACAGGACAGGTCAGAGCTGGTCGGAACTTAAGCAAACAAACCACATCCCTTACCGTAGTGTCAGCAGACAGGTTAATGGCAATACACCTGTACAAGCCCTCGTCCTTGGCCTGCACCTGTGTGATGGTCAGGTTACAGGTGTACCAGTCTTGGGTCTGGCTCACCCTGGGGTCAACAGTTAGGTCACGTTCGCCGTAGCCAGCCTCGGGTGCCTCCCTCCGGTACAGCCAAATAGCCTGGGGGTGACGACCATTTTGTTACTTCACTCACTCACTCACCTTGGAAGGCTGTTAGAGTTGTAAACCTTCGTAACTCAGCCAGCATAACTCAGCCGGCATAACTCAGCCGGTATAACCCAGCCAGCGTAACTCAGCCGGTATAACCCAGCCAGCGTAACTCAGCTGGTATAACCCAGCTGGTATAACCCAGCCAATAAGTCAGCCGACATAACTCAGCCAGCATAACTCAGAACATTAGATGAACTAACTTGTACAATCAAGATCTATTAGATACGTCAACGTGTATGACTTGCCACTTATAACGAGTCAACCTGCGTAAGTCATTTTTTTTTCATCTTTTAAAAACCTTGACAGAATTACTGTGCACGTTTAGAAACCTCAGAAAAAATTTGAATTGTAGCTTAAGTAATCCTTAAAACAATGTATTGTATATTAAGAAAGCAACAAAACTGCTGTTTACTTTCAATTAATTAGAGTACCGTCCTCATATCTGAGGGTTGGCTACAACAATCCTCCACTCTTAACGCTCTCTGGGTTTTTATACCAATCCAAGGTTTTGTAACTCTCTTGGACCCCCTTTTTGAAACCTCATTCATCCATCCTAGTCTCTGCCTTCCCCTGGCCCTCCTATCCTCAACTTTCCCCATTAATATTTCTGGTATTATGCCGTCAGTAGCCACTTGGGCGATCGGTCACGCCTCAGATACGCACTGTTGGCAAGCTGGGCATGAACTGGCTCCTGAATAGATCGAAAACTGCTCCAGTGTTAGTCAAGTCTAGCCTTGAAAGAGCTCACACTCGGTGCCGTCACAACACTCTCTGGTATTTTGTTCCAAGGAGTTCACAATTCTCACTCCGAAAAAGTTTGCCCTCACAGTTTTCTGGACTTGTGGCTTCTTCAGCCTTCTGATCCTTGTTCATCAATTATGAGAATCTGTTTTTTATTTCAGTTTCATATTCTATCCCTGTCCCTGTTTTGAGTTTCCCTAAATTCCATTAAATTCTGTCCAGTAATTTTGTTATTATTTTTTTTTTAATTTTAGCCTTCCTACTGATTACTTTTAACAAACCTTTAAACAAAATTGTGCTTTACCCCAAGAAATCATGGGAAGAAATTGACTTGCATGTTGAGAAACCGTAAAAAATTACAATTATTCCTTATTGTTTTTGCACTGTTTCGAGAAACAAATTCACATTGTGTATTTAGAAACCAGAGGAAAGTTTACAACATTCATAATAAAAACCATCAATCACGGGAGTTATACACACCATCAAAAAAGTATCTTCACGGTGGGGTCCGATGAATTTCAAAATGAACACTGCGACTCCTGTTGTCTTGGTAGGAGTTGATCAAAATCCTTCGTCCGTTGTCATATTGTCTCACACAGAATTGTTAAAATACTTTGATTATGTGAACCTTACCTTTAGAAACCTGATCTGGGAGGATGGCAGGACGTCCTTTTCTCTCTCTACCGTGCCGTTCGCTTTCCTCCACTCCAGCTCCTCCTGTAAGACAAAAAAAAACATCATATTGTTCTTTTGGGACTCGCCATATTGTCCTCTAACTCACCATAGTGTCATATAACTTACCATAATGTACTCTGATGCACCATAGTCTGACTCATCATAATTCTGGCTCACAATACTGCACAGTGACTCACGAATTAGTCTTTAAATCACCATACTGTCTAACTCACCATAGCACAAGAGCAACCCACCGCATTGACTCACCATAGCAAAAGACTGATGCACCGCACCGGCTCGCCCTAGTATACGTAGAAGTGACTCACCGCACTGATTCACCATAGTGCAAGAACGACTCACCGCACTGACTCACCATAATGTCACCGTCGCCCAGGACATGGCAGGTGATGGTGACGGTGTGGTGAAGGAGGGCAGAGGTGTGGTAGGTGGTGATGGTGCCTCGCTCTAGCGCCACGCCGTCCGCTACTCCGCACACCGCATCAAGGAAAAGGAACGATGATTATACATTATACTGAACAGAAACCTAACCTAACCTTACCTAACCCAGCCTTACTTAACCTAACTTAACCGAACCTAATCCAGCTAACTCTTGAGTCTAATGGTTGGTGCAACTCTTGAATGCACTAAACTCCACTACTTTTGGCTTGCATAGTGGCATTGCAACTTAATCAATTTCCCACCATAGTTTTCAGTGAAAATAACTCTTCCAACTAAGGCCATGGGTGATTTTTCAAGCTGGACATGTCCACAGCGGGATGAAGCTCACAGGTCAACACTGGATTGGATATGGCTGTGTGTGTTTCTTCTTCGCATTACAGGAGACATTGCCGCTTGTGATTTTTTTTTTTTTTTTTTTTATTTTTTTTTTGGGTGGTGGTCACTCCCTACATCCTTGTGTAAGGCGAAGCGCAGAAGCGTTTACAGCGCCAACAGGGAAGCATGCTAAGTTCATGCTTGCCTTTATGTCTCATGAGTTAAGGGCGGAGAAGCCTGAAGAGTCAATGGTTTATGTCATCAAGTTATTGGAAGTTCCAACAACTTGTCCCTGAATACGAATTCCCAACTTTCGACTTACAACAGGTACCTACTTTACTGCTAGGTGAACAGGGACTAATGAGGGCTAGGAAGTAAGTCCAAACAACTTCCACCGGTCCGCTTGTGATTGGTTTGCTTAAGAACAGTCACACTGGTGGGTCAGTTGATGTAAACAAAAGACATCCTCATGGCATCCAGAAACCTTTTTTTTTTCAAATGTAACAACAGTCTTATAAAAGAAACTTAGTTGAGTAAAAATAGATAATTTATTCTTAATTTTACTTAAGTAAAGATACTTGAGTGTACTTGAGAGTACTTGAGTAAAAACAAAGTACAAGAAATGCTAGTTCAGTACTGTAGTGAAGTGAATATACTTGACTACTCCTCAACCCTGAATCTGACCAACCCAGTCCTAAATAACATAATCTAAATTTCTTTGTTTAATATAAATAAAATATGGCCCCCACATTATGTCAACGGCTTGTGCCTCCAGGGGTATGTAGTCCATTATACCCCAACGTACCCATTATAATGTCCCGCCCCACCGCATGTCAGTGTTTGTTTACAATCTGTTCTCAGTCAAAAGGTCAAAGACTATATACAAAAGATAGGAAAGTGGCTACCCTAATCACAGCATAAAATGTGCTGTCGAACACTGATGTCATCTTTTGAAATTTCAGCAGTCGGGCATTTCCAGATGCATATTGTTGCTAGATACTTCAAGATGTCAATTGTTAACGTGTTCAGACATATATTTGAATAATATAATGCTCTGTGTGTTGAATCTCCCAAACATTGTATAAACGTTGTCAGACGACAATCCTTGGCAGAGCCATCTAGCGGGTTTACAGCAAAACTTCACTGTTTGTGTGTCACACGTCAAGGAGGTCTCTTTCCTATCTTCCGTGTCTAGACTTTGGTAAGCAAGCTTTCTTGCAGTCAAGACATACAGTGTTTCAAAGCAACCACGAAAAAGATTGGTGTAATTTTTGTTTTGGGGTGACATGAACCAACAAAGCCTAATATAACCTACAAAAACAATATAACAACGTCAATGTATTGTTGGTCGGGATAGTTCAGGTTGGAATAGGTTGTGTTGTTAATATAAAAATGGTTTAGTGATCTTAGTCGTGGAATATTTCTAAAATTTGTGTGTTTTGCCTCAAGAGTCAAACAATGTGTTAACGCTGCTTGAGGAAGGAGTTTGTGGGTTTAAATCTAAATTTTCCACGTGTGCGACTTTCAGGACTGCCGTCAATATTGGTTGAAGGTAAGTAATATGTTAACATATAATGAAGATAAGGGGGGGGGTGTCTAACTGTACCTGCGCTAGGAAGTACATTGTACAGGTATCTCCACCACTGACGGAACCCCGTTGTTACCTGCGGTCATGACACCTGCGCGACATTGGAACCAAATATTTAAGTAAATAAATGATTAGCCATATTAAGGCGTTTATTGTAAGGTGTTTTATGAAGCACGGAATAGCTAACGCGTTAGTTTTCCCGGATTGTCATTAAAAATTCGACATTGTACCGTATCTTGGGAATAACTGTTGTACAACACAGTCTTCAGGAAACAATAATATTAGGAGAACTGTTATTTGGACACAATACGGAAAGAAATAGTGAAGAAAATATATGGTAAATTGTGGAAAGAAAGAAAAAAAAGGAAAAAAGTCAGTCAACAATAAATAAGAACACAAAATATCGGGCCCGTTTAAAGGTCCGGACTCGGGTGGGAGCTTTAAACCACACTACGTACGCTCTTGTCTCGCTGCTACAGTGTTTACAGCTGTTCGCATACATAAACACGCAATACGAAGAATTTCAGGCTCGTTTAAGTATTATTTTTTGCATTTACTGAACTTTAATCAACTTGTTCACCCTTAAAGTATCTTATGAGTAATTATGTTAAAGTTTTAATCATATTTGAGCAATTCGCAATGTTTTACACAAAATTCACCAACGACTAATGAAATCGGACAGCACCCACGTAAAAATGGGCGGAGCCAAAATTGGTTTCAACAAGGCGAAATCCTTTTCAATTCGTTCACGCCATGCACTTTGCTTTAGATCCTATCCAATATACTACCGTATATAGAATTATTTTTATTATTATATCACAGCTTTTTGTTGTCTTACATGCCCACAACTCTTCAATATTAATCAAAATATTCTCCATACGCGGCCATGATCCGCATATTTACACAGCGTGTACGTGGGAGAAACTCCCTGATTGGTTGTTAGCTATTCGGGCGTCTTGGTCACTGCAAAAGGCTGATGCCTGATCGAGGTGTTAGCTCTTCCCTCTGAAGGTTCCATGCGCACAGCTCTAAAGTAGCTTCTTTGCATACAGAATAGATAATGCGTTGGCTATTCTGTAAATCGAAAACGCCTTTAGTTACTGTAGGTTCCAACACTGCATAGGTTTCATGATCGTGGAGGATAGTGTCCCAGAAAAAAATATACAACTTAAATTTACCATTTTTAAGATAAAACCCAAACCATTTTGCAATGCAGGTCACACTCCTGTACAATATATCAACACTAACAACACGGCGAGTATAGTGATATTATTATTAAATAAGCTGAATTGCCGACCGGGATAGTGGCCACCATATATTTTGTAAACACGACCAATCCTATAGTTCAGGAGAGTAACATGTCAAATATAATGTATCTTTTAGTATAGAACCTGCAAGGATGAAAACTCTGGAATAGTAACTCACAAGTATGATGTCTACAGCTAGGATGATGAGGTGGCGAGTGGTGACCAGGATGATAACACGCCTACCAGGATTATGACACCTACCAGGATGATAATGACGCACACCTACCAGGATGATAATGACGGACACCTACCAGGATGATAATGACGGACACCTACCAGGATGATAATGACGCACACCTACCAGGATGATAATGACGCACACCTACCAGGATGATGAGTGAGAATGTAGGGGAGGGACAACTCACCTGCCAACATATGAGTGACAATTAGTGCCACTGATGTCACCCAGCTAAGTAAGTTTAACCTCACCATGACCTCTGGCACTCACTGCTGTTCTGACCACACTAATAAAAGAAGATAACTATTAGTTCCTCAGCCACTTTGAGTTACTATCTGTGCCACTTAAGTTGACAGGATTTATTATCATTTAAATATCTACCACTTATTTAAAATTATATTTACCACTTTATTTAAGTTAGTATTTCTACCACTTTAGTTAACAGTTAGTATTTCTTCCACTTTACTTAAGTTAGTATTTCTACCACTTTGGTTAACAGTTAGTATTTCTACCACTTTAGTTAACAGTTAGTATTTCTACCACTTTAGTTAATTTAGTATTTCTACCACTTTAGTTAAGTTAGTATTTCTACCACTTTAGTTAACAGTTAGTATTTCTTCCACTTTAGTTAATTTAGTATTTCTACCACTTTAGTTGACTTAGTATTTCTACCACTTTAGTTAACAGTTAGTATTTCTACCACTTTAGTTAATTTAGTATTTCTACCACTTTAGTTAACAGTTAGTATTTCTTCCACTTTAGTTAACAGTTAATATTTCTACCACTTCAGTTAACAGTCGGTATTTATTCCACTTCAGTTAACAGTTAATATTTCTACCACTTCAGTTAATATTTCTACAACTTCAGTTAATATTTCTACCACTTTAGTTAACAATTAATATTTCTACCACTTCAGTGAGTTAATATTTCTACCACTTTAGTTAACAGTTAATATTTCTACCACTTTAGTTAACAGTTAATATTTCTACCACTTTAGTTAACAGTTAGTATTTCTTCCACTTTAGTTAACAGTACATCTTCCACTTTCGTTAACAGTTAATATTTCTACCACTTTATTTGAGTTAGGATTTCTACCACTTTCGTTAACAGTTAATATTTCTACCACTTTAGTTAACAATTAATATTTCTACCACTTCAGTGACAGTTAATATTTCTACCACTTTAGTTAACAGTTAATATTTCTACCACTTTATTTGAGTTAGTATTTCTATCACTTTCGATAAGTTAATATTTCTACCACTTTAGTTAACAGTTAGTATTTCTTCCGCTTTAGTTAACAATTAGTATTTGTACCACTTTAGTTAACAGTTAGTATTTGTACCGCTTTAGTTAACAGTTAGTATTTCTTCCACTTTAGTTAAGTTAGTATTTCTACCACTTTAGTTAACAGTTAGTACATCTTCTACTTTCGGTAACAGTTAATATTTCTACCACTTTAGTTAACAGTCAGCATTTTTGCCACTTTAGTTAACAGTTAGTATTTATACCACTTTTGTTAAGTCAGTATTTCTGCCACTTTAGTTAAGTTAGCATTTCTTCCACTTTAGTTAACATTAATATTTCTACCACTTTAGTTAAGTCAGTATTTGTACCTCTTTACAGTGTGTACCAGTCATCTGATAACAAAGGTATTAGGTGAACACTTACTCTGTCTGTCAGCTTTAAAGGTTTCTACTCCTTAACTAAAGGTTTCAATCAGAAAAGTGTAGTGAACCGTAATAAAGTTGATACTACGGAGGGCAGTGGATTTGGGAAGGGGGAAGTCCCCAGAAGAAGATTCTGAAGAACTTTTTTAGAAATCTTACGACGAAGGACTTTGTAAAACTTTTCTAAGATCTCTGTAGACACTTTATCAATATTTCGTGAATACCTTTAACGAAATGAGAACACCAATAGCTGCACGTGATAAACAACCACCACCATCACCACTGGCTGGGCTGTAACGATGGGGCGAGGCAATACAAACTCACCCCCATTGGGCCACTCACCACCACCGGCCACTCAGCGTCGATATAAACTGGCTCATACCACAAGTGGACACTCCTGCTACCTCCCCACACACACACACACACACATACACATAATTCTCAGACCTCCTGGGATGAGGAAGTATTTGGCGCCAATAAGGCAGTATCCTAGGCCAGTACGTTTCCTTCCCTTCCCTCATCTCCTCACCAGTATTTATCAATATAATAATCAGGATCTGTGTGTGTGTGTGTGCGCGCGCGTGTGTGTGTGCGCGCGCGCGCGTGTGTGTGTGTGCGCGCGCGCGTGTGTGTGTGTGTGCGCGTGTGCGTGCGTGCGTGCGCTAACTCACTCTCCCTAGCCTATTTCATCCTCCAGTAGATATGACATATTTTCAAAAACTGTTCTGGGAATTTCTTGATTATAAATAATAACTCTCGAGGAATATACAGTATACTATACTGTGTGTGGAATGATTGACAACGGTGACCGGCCAATATAAGCGGCGAGTACATAACAGGAAAGGGCTTCGTTATTGATGGGTCCGATGTTGTCCACATGACCCCGTCCCCTGACAGATTCACTGAACTCAGGATATTATGACTTCTCTCTCTTTAGCTCATGTGTGTGTGTGTGTGTGTGTGTGTTAGTCCACCAGTCATGGCTACCAGTCATGCCTATCAGTCAGATCCACCATTCAGGTCCATTAGTCAGGTCCACAATCATGCCTACAAGTCAGGTCCACCAGTCAGGTCCACACACATGCCTACAAGTCAGGTCCACAATCATGCCTACAAGTCAGGTCCACCAGTCAGGGCCATCAGTCAGGTCCACCAGTCAGGTCCATCAGTCAGGCCCACCAGTCAGGATGCAAAGATTGTGGTGCCGCCCTTGATATATGTAACGTCATCCTGATCATGCCGCCCACCACCACGCTCTGCCACCCATTTCAAGCCCTGCCACCTATCTCAAGCCCTGCCGCTCACCTCAAACCCGGCCACTCACCTCAAGCCCTGCCACTCACCTCAAGCCCTGCCACCCACCCCTATCACCCACCCCTGCTACCCACCTTCAACTCCTGCAACTTAACATTATGCTCTGCCGCCCAACATCAAACCCTGCCGCCCAACATCAAACCCTGCTGCCCACCATCAAGCCCTGCCGCCCACCATCAACATAAGAACATAAGAATGGAGGAAACTGCAGCGGGCCTAATGGCCCATACTGGGCAGTCCCATTTACACCCAACCCCTATTGCTCATATAAGCATCCAACCTATGTTTGAAGCTATCCCGCGTATTGGAGTTAATGATGATATTTGGTAACTTGTTCCATTCATCCACTACTCTGTTTCCAAACCAATGTTTACCTATTTCGCGTCTAAATCTAAATTTGTCTAATTTAAAACCATTGTTACGAGTTTGCTCTTGGTTGGATAGTTTGAGTACCTTTGAAATGTCCCCTTTCTTTAGCCCTGACTTCCATTTATACAGATCTATCATATCGCCCCTCACTCTACGTCTCTCGAGGGAGTGCAAATTAAGATGCTTTAACCTGTCTCTACTCAAGGTTCCTAATGCCAGGGATTACTTTTGTCATTCTCCTCTGAATTCTTTCCAAGGATTCTATATCCATTCTGTAATACGGTGACCAGAACTGAACTGCGTAATCCAAGTGAGGTCTCACAAGCGCTAGATATAATCTTAAGATGACCTCGCTAGTCTTGTAACTAACACTCCTTTGTATGAACCCAAGTACTTTATTAGCCTTGTTACGAGCAAAAACACATTGTTTACTTGGCTTAAGATTCCTACTTATCATTACTCCTAAATCTCTCTCGCAGTCGGATTTCTCAATGGCATCGTTGTTCATCTGGTAACTGGTTTCCCTGTTTACATCTCCTATACTGAGTACTTTAAATTTGTCCACATTGAATTTCATCTGCCATTTTTCAGACCCTTCGAAAAAAATTTTTATATCTCCCTGTAGTTTTGCGGAGTCCTCGTCAGATTTAATTACACGTCCTATTTTAGTGTCATCAGCAAATTTACTTATGTTGCTGTCTATGCCGATATATATGTCGTTTTTGTATATAATAAATAATAATGGTCCAAGTACTGAGCCTTAGGGAACTCCACTAGTGACGTTGCTCCAATGGAATTTAGTGCCGTTAATGCTCACTCGCTGTTTCCTGTCCTGTAACCACGCCCGAATCCATTTAAGGATGTCACCTTTGATGCCATGCGCTTCTACCTTTCTAATTAGTCTTTCGTGGGGGACTCTGTCGAAGGCTTTGCTAAAGTCGAGATATACCACATCATAATTGTGCCCCTCGTCCACCGATTCGAAAACTGATGAAAAGAATGTTAATAGATTAGTTAGACATGAACGCTCGCTTGTGAAGCCATGCTGGGAATCATTGATCAATTTGTGCTTCTCCAGGTGGTTTCGAATAGAGTTTGAAATGATTGCTTCCAGTAATTTGCCTACAATTGATGTTAGACTAATTGGACAGTAGTTAGAGGATAGTGATCTATCCCCCTTCTTGAAAATCGGTATTACATTTGCTATCCTCCAGGATTCTAGTACTACACCTGTTTTTAATGACATGTTAAACAACTTTGCTAAGGGCATACTAAGCTCTTTCTTACATTCCTTTAATACTCTGGCAAATATCTCATCGGGACCAGGTGACTTATTAGGCTTTAGTTTGTCTATTTGCTTACTAACATCGTTACTAGTCACTACTATCTCGCTTAATTTGTTTTCTTCACTATCTCTGAATAGAGTCGGTGCCTCGGGTATCATGTTTAAATTTTCGGTGGTGACAACTGTTGAAAAATATATATTCAGATTATTGCTCATTTCTCCATCGTTATCAGTTAGCTCGCTGGTATCTGACTGTACAGTATTGGCCCAATCTTTTCTCGTGTTTTAGTTTGATACATTTGATAGAATCCCTTGGGGTTTGTCTTCGCCTCCCTTGCTATCCTCAGCTCATTATTCCTCTTTGCTTTCCTTATCTCGGTCTTAACCCTACCGGCCAAAACCTTATAATAATCCCGGAGGTAAATTTTGCCACGATTTATCCTCCTACCTATAGCCTTCCTTTGACCAATAATGTTCTTTAAATAATTATTTATCCATTTAGGGTCATTGTTGTTTGATCTGAGTTTTTTGTATGGTATGTTCTGCCTTTGTGCATTGAGTAACTCATTATTTAAATTGTCGTGGAACTCGGTAACCTCAGATCTCGTTATCAGGGTGTGTTTCAACCGTCAGGTCCAAGTAGTTCACCCCCAAGCGTGATGCCCCTTCTCTCAACTGCCTCTTCAAACTATCAAAGTTTGCCCCTCTGAAATCTGGGACTTTTGTGGAATTTTCCTTACGGCTGCCCTGAAAATCTAACTGGAATCTAGTTTCTTTGTGATCGCTCTTTGCAAGTTCATTCCCTACCTCGACATTACTAATGAGGATTTGTCTGTTCGACAGAACTAAATCGAGTATATTATTACCCCGGGTGGGTTCGGTTATATGTTGACTTAGAAAACAATCCTGGATCGTCTCGAGAAAATCCTCTGATTCTGAGTAACCTGTAAGGTCAGTCCAATCTATTTGGCCAAGGTTAAAGTCGCCTAATATACAGACTTTGTTGTGTATGGAAGCCCTGCGCATTTCATCCCAGATAAGTCGCTCATTGACTCTATCAAGATTGGGAGGTCTATATATTACTCCTGTGATTAATTTTTCCCTACCCTCGATTAATTCTATCCAAATTGTTTCTGTATTCCGCTCAGTTCTTATTTCCTTATTTATTTCACACTTCAGATTATCCCTGACATAGATTGCTACTCCGCCTCCTTTCCTAATCTGCCTATCGGTATGGAATAATTTGTAACCTGCAATTTGGTATTTGACAGGTAACTCACGTGAGTCTAGGTTGATCCATGTTTCAGTGAATGCTAGTATATCATATTTTTTCGGTACACACCAAGGCCCTAATATCATTCATTTTGTTTCTCATACTTCTACTGTTCGTGTAGTAGACATTTAAGTTAGTCGTGTTCTGAGTCCTCCCTTTGCCGCGTTTAGGTTTTAACTCGCTGTCTAATTTAGTTTTGTCGTCATTCCTAACACTATTTTCCTGTAACCTTTCACTTTGTTTACCCGCTCCCACTGCAGTCTCCTCCACCCCCGTGCTCACATGTTCCCCTAGCAGTTTAAAGACTTCGACATCTTTTGGACTGCCCTTTCGAGAGTCCCAGCCAGGGTAGCCACTCCATCCCTAGCATAAAGGTCCCTTCTGCCGTAGAAGTTGTCCCAGTTATCAATGAATGGGACTGATATTGGCTTGCAATATCTGTCAAGACGGCCGTTGACACCAACTGCCCTTGACAACCATTCATTGCCAACTCCCTCACTGGCCGGTCAGTTCTTAGCCCGCTATTATTGAGTACTGGACATGTGTGGGCTCTTCATTTCTTCAATGTAGCTAAACATGTGTGGGTTTAAAAGAGCTCACACTTGCTGCCGTCACATTTTCTGGCAGGACATTCCAAGAGTTCACAATCTTTACTCCAAAGAAGTTACTATATCTTACAGTTTTCTGTACTTGAGCCTCTGAGCTTCAGTAGGGCGCCCATCATATAACCCCAGTTTGTATATTTATGGTAGGATGGCAATGTTGTATGATATTATGGTAGCATGATATTGTGGTAGCATGATATTATGGTAGCATGATATTATGGTAGCATGATATTATGGTAGCATGATATTATGGTAGCATGATATTGTGGTAGCATGATATTATGGTAGCATGATATTATGGTAGCATGATATTGTGGTAGAATGATAGTGTGGTAGCATGATATTGTGGTAGCATGATAGTGTGGTAGCATGATAGTGTGGTAGCATGATATTGTGGTAGCATGATAGTGTGGTAGTATGATAGTGTCGTAGTATGATAGTGTCGTAGTATGATAGTGTGGTAGTATGATA